CTCCATCCTCCCAGAACCCAACATTTATTGCATCCGAGTACATAGAATCCAGAAAAGGATCTTAACAACCTGTCTCCAGAATTTGTTTTCTATTCCTTCATAGGTTAAAGCCTTAAAGGATGAAACTAAAAAGCTTACCACAGCTGGTGGAACTGCCAAAATTGATTTTAGGCTACCTTAATAAAAGTATGGGGTTTGGTAGGGTTTAGAGGGGTGAAGGGTACCTAATCCTACTCTGCAACAACAGACTTTAGGTTATTATGACCAGACGTTGTACAATACACCAGAGACTTCTTTGGTCTAGATATATTCTCCTCATTTAATATTCTTAGTGGACCACTATGGGAAGCATATGTTCATTGTTTTAATCTTCCAGAAAACTTTCCAAAGGGGGGGGACATGTGTTTTATAAAGATACCAGTAAAATTCTTTTCTGATCACCCAGGATACATATGGACTTGTTTTAGTTTATAATACAGTTTTTAGTTTATAATACAGTTTTAAAATGCAGGATGTAAGGTGCTATAAGGAACTAAGGAAAAGAAAAATAGGGGCCTATGAGTGGAATGCTTACTAAGCAGTATTTGGAAAAAGCTCGGTGTTTGCTGGTGAGAAAATTGCTATTTCCTCTAAGTAATCCTAACAGATATCACCCGTAAACAATCTTTTTTCAAGTGTTTGTGTATGTGCGAGTGTGCTGGTGCACGTTTGTGTCATCCTTGGTAATTCAGTCCACCTCCTTTGACACAGATCTCTCATTTGCCCAGAGCTTGCCAGTTAACCTAAGCATTCTGTGTCTCTGCCTTCCCAGTGCTGGGAGTACAAGTCCACCACAACACGTCACACTCTTACCAAACCCTGGTCCTCCTGCTTGCAAGGTAAATTCTTTACCCACTATCCATCTTTCCCAACACCCTTTGAACAATCTTTGTTGTATTCTTTGTTTTTTGAGACAGGGTTTCTCTGTGTAACTGCCCTGGCTGTTCCGGAATTCACCTTGAAGACCAGGCTGGCCTGGAACTCACAGAGATCCACCTTAAAGATCAGCAAATCATGCTTCTGCAAACTGAGTGTGGTAGCAGCCTATAAATCCCAGCACAATGAGATGGAGCCAGGAAGACAGAAGTTCAAGGTCATCCTTGGTTCCAAATCATGTTCACAGCCAGCCTGGGCTACATGAGACTGTGAGAATACACAGACAGAAATATCACATATGAAGATGCCCAATATGAAGCCTAGACACTTATTACCATATACACCAGTCAGGTCAAACCGTCTCATCTTTAATCCCCACAGAAGACCTGCCTCCAAAATAATTAGCCTATTGAGAGAGATACTTTATTTCACAGCTGGTTAACTTGGCGTCGTTTTACTACTCTACTTGGTTTCCGGGAGGAAAGTGGCACCTGGATCTTACCCTCTTCTTTCTCTCAATACCCAGTTTTCAGCACCATGCCTAAAACAGCCGTGCTTGAAAGGCAGCCCGAAAGAACAGGCTGGGCGTGTGTTCAACACTGCTTGGAAGGTGTGGTGTCTTCTTAGAGGTGACCGCTGAAGCAATGAAGTTGGATAACATTTCCAAAGGAGAGAAAAGAAAAATTAAGTAGTCTTTATATAAATGTCTGCTACTCAGTTACTGTTTTTTACCGGAAAACCTGTTACGGTCTGATTCTTTCCTTGAAATCTTAATAACTGTCACACCCTCAAAAGCAATCAGCCTAAAAAGCAATAAAGACTAAGAGAAGATGACACTCTTGTCAGATGGTCTCCCTAACAGTCTCTCCATCTCAACAATACTGGCCATTGTGGCCTAACCATCTCTATCATAGGGGATGTCTTCTGTACTGTAAAGATGCCAGAGGATTATTTAATACATGGGTAGGCGCATCATGATGGGAGACAAAGCAAGGAAATCTCTGCTATAGGTTTCAGATGTCGTTGTTTACAAAGGATCTCACTACATGGCCCTGGCTGACCTGAGCCTTACAGAGATCTGCCTGCCTCTGCCTCCAGACTGCTGGGAGTAAAAGCACGGGCCACCATGCTAGCTTCCCACTTGCTTTAAATTACATTTATTCTTTATTGTGTGTACACGTGCATGAGTGCATGCCACATGGACCCTGGATCTGGGTTAAAATGGGTCATGAGGCTTAGCAGCAAGCACTCTAACCCTCGGAACCATCACACCAGCTCTCTCTAGCAGCACCGGTAAACTTTACTCCCCTCCCCCAGTCCACCAAAAGTAGCACCAGATTTTGCCAAGTGTTTCTTCTAGAATATTACTCCCCCTAGTTAAGCACCACTTCCTAGGCTGAAAGGATGGCTAAGTGGTTAAGAGCATATGCTAGGGGCTGGAGAGACGGCTCAGTGGTTAAGAGCACTGACTGCCCTTCCAGAGGACCTAGGTTCAAGTCCCAGCATCCACATGGCAGCTCACAACTGTCTGTAACTCCGGTTCCAGAGGATCTGATACTCTCACACAGGCATGCAGGCAAAAACACCAATTCACATAAAATAAAAATTTAAAAAAAAAAAAAGAGGGAGAGTATATGCTTTTCCAGAGGAGTCAAGCTTGGTTCCAGCATTCACATTAGGTGGCTCACAACAATCTTTACCTTAGCTCCAGGACATCCGAAGCCCTCTTCTGGCATACAAATGACACACATTCACACAAACACTCGCACAGACACATTAAAAATAAAAAGAATCATTTCCCTAAAGTTAACAGAACTTCTCGCAGATTCCTCACAGATTCTTTCCCTGACATCTATAAACACATTTCATTAATTCACTTGCTGCCCACTGACTGATTCTATACATTAAATTGTGCTAATAATTCATAAGCTGTTTTCCTTAAAAGTTAAACGAAATTGATCAAAACCTCTTAACTGCCAGACAAATCATAGAGTGATTCACTCTAAATGCATTACCATATGCAATCCTGAAAGGTAAACTAATACAGTACAATGAAAGTAGGAAGTCAATTGCAGAGGTCTCTGCAAAAAATTCAAGATTTGCCGGGTGGTGGTGGCGCACACCTTTAATCCCAGCACTCGGGAGGCAGGGGCAGGTGGATCTCTGTGAGTTCGAGACCAAGCCTGGTCTACAGAGCGAGTTCCAGGACAGGCTCCAAAACAATACAGAGAAACCCTGTCTCGAAAAACCAAAAAAAAAAAAAAAAATTTCAAGATTTGTCCCCATAGTCAAAATACCTAATCTTTTAACTTCACCTCTGCAGGTGGCACTGAGCTAGCATTAAGCAAAATGAATTGTATTCATCTAGATTGTTTACAAGTTTTAAATAGATACAAACAACAGATATGTGCCTGTTTCCTTTTTGGTTACATTGAGACAATAATAGAAATTATTTTATCGGGTTGTTGGTATTGAGTTAAAATATATAGAATGCGGAAACTGAAACTAGCATACTCATATTTATGTGTTAAACATTACCACGGAACATTTTTAAAGATAATTAAACAGAGGTGTGTCTCAGACGTTATCTGAAAACACTACAATCAAATAATAAACTTGTATCCTGATACCCTGGGTTCGTATTTCCCTTCCTTCAATATTATTTGAACTTCAATATTGTCGCCTGTAAAATATGAATAACCCCTGCCTTTCTTTCATAGTGTCTTCTTTATAACCTTACTACGGATGGCAAGCACTGTTAAAATGGATCATTATTATCTATAAAACACTGTCTTTATCGAAAGAAAATCCAAGGAGAGAGTAGCTTAGTGGGGGCGGGGCCACGTGTGAAGGTCAGAGGACAAGGGAAGAGAAGGTTCACTCAGTCCACCACGTGGGTCCTGGAGTCTGAACTCAGGTCATCGGACTTGGCAGCCGATGCCTCTATCTGCTGAGCCATCCCACTGGCACAGATAATCTAAAATTTAAACTAAAACACCCTCGCAGTTTTTACGCACAAAAACCCTCTAGGAATCTGAGAGTAGCCATACTTTAAAGCCACTGGGAAGGATTTGGTCATCACCCACTTCACCGAGAGCATGCTATGGGTCCCCTACCTGACCTTTTCTTTTCAACTGTGAACAAATTACTCTTTTGAATGGAGAAGATATGTTGAAATAGATGGGATTTGTCTCAGTAATAGCCTCACAGTTTTAAATCAGCTTCATGTGTCTATTTTTAGATAGAAAAAAATCACTGCCTTCCAATGAGCAGTTCAAAGGCATCAAAGATTGCACACGCTAGACTTATTAGGAAGAAATGCTTTTGAACAAACGGCTTTTAATAAGTGAAAGTTGCAACATCAATTACATGTGTGTCAGGTGTTGGGAGAGCGCTCCCTCCACCGTTGCCAAATACGCAAAGAAAACAAGCAAAAACTTTCCTAACCGTTTAGCCGAATGCTATTCTAGCCAAAGCCTGTAAGGTGGATTCCGGTCCCGGCTAGGGGGGCTCTCCAAAGAAGATTTCAGAGAGGTGATCAAAAAAAAAAAAAAGGTCAAAACACTCTTCCACGATGCCTTCCGAAAAACCCAGGAATTTTATCTTGCAGCAGGGTCCGGCGGGCCCTGGGCTCCTTCCCGCTGGCCCCCAGGAAAGGATGCAGCTCGGGACGGGACGGGACCCCTGGGGTCGCGCCAGCGCGCGTGGCGGGTGCCCGCGGACGGCTCGGCACCCGGGCCAGCCGCTCTGATTGGCCAATGGCTGCCAGGGCCGGGCGTGCACCTGAGCGAGGTCCAAGCCCAGGGGGCGATGAGCGGCCACGCGGGCAGCTCCCCGAGCTGCAGGTCCCGCGTGCTGGCCCCACGGACGCAAACACCACGCAGCAGCGCCAGCCCACGTGGGCCTTGGCTCGCCGCAAATGCCGCCTCTCTCCCTCCCCCGCCCCACATCGGCGGCTCTCACCTCAGCGCCGGCGGCTCTTCCACCTTCAGCTTCTTGGGCTTTGGCTCCTCAGCAGCTGCCATCTTCGCACTCTCACCCTGGCTGGGTTCTACCGCGCGCCCCGCCCCTCGGCCCGGTGGCCCCGCCCCCTCGTCTCGTCTCCACCCCCTTCTCCTAAGCCCCGCCCAGCCGGCGACTCCAGTCCGCAACCATTGGCTCTGCGCACACCCGAAGCCCCGTCCCTCCCGGGCCTCGACTACCACGGTAAGGGACCCCAACCGGAGTTAGGCTGCGGGGGAGCGCCTGCGCTCCGGGAGGGCCCGCCTCCCGGTTCTTCCAGACCCCGAGCAATGCGGAAGACTGCGATCGTCCACCTCCGGAGACATTGTTCCTCTCACTGAACGCCCTGTCCGCCCGTTCTGTCTTCCTAGTCCCGCTGACCTCCTGGGCGTCTCCGAGGCTGCGAGTCAGGCAGTCTGTTGGGCACTCCGAGCACGGGGTCCTCGCGGCTTCCTCTGCTGCTTCAGCTTCGGGCCAGAGAGGACCGGGCCCGCGTCGCTGGCTCGCCCAGGTGTCGGGGTGAGTGTGAGGGCGGGGAGTCTGCGGGCTGGAGACCGCTCAAAGGCGGGGCGGCAGACTGCAGGGCTCGGGCTCGGGGCTCGAGCCTGGGCTTCGGCCGCGTCCCTGCGGCTGTGGGCCGGGCCTCCCTACGCCCGGCCTTCCGGGCTTTCTAACCAGCTGGGCCGGAAGGGAGCGGTGCACCTGCCACGAAGGGTTCTCGAACCCTGGACCCCGGGCGCGGGGAAAAGGTCTCGGCATTCCACGGAGGTGGAATACCGATGACTCGAATTCACCAGCCCCGAGGTTTGGCCTTGGAGGTCTGAAAGAACGTCCTGTTTAGAGGGTGGCATCTGGGTGGCGAGCCCGGGATGGGAAGACACCCTCGTTGCAGCTTCTCGTGAGATAGATGACAGAGCTGTAAACTGCGAAGATGGCCTGGAGTGCGGAAACGTAGTGATTGGCAGTCGTGGGTTTGTTCGATCCCGAAGCTTTAACTCCATGGTTGAGGGGTTGGTCGCTGTAAAAATCTGGCCTTCTCAAGGCAAGAGAAATGTTTTTTCTTTTGTTTGTTTGTTTTGTGACACTTGGGATTTTGACTTGGAAACACATTACACAGAAAAAATGGGTTTCTTGCAGCCAAATATACAAATCTCCTTCCTTCCTATTGAAAGAAGACGGTGTCCCTTTTCGTCAGAGGACAAGTTCTTTCACCTACTTTACTGGTGCTTCTGAGTGTCCTCCTCTCAGTTTCTTTTCCGTTTTACATGTTTGTTGTATGTGTGCTGCATGCCACAATGCACGTGTAGAAAAGTCAGAGGACAACTGTTGGGACTCAACACTTCTATCCTTCATGAGATTCTGGGACTCACACTGGGGCCTTGGGCTTGGCAGCAGACACTTCCTGATGAGCTGTCTCAATCTCATCTTTGCCTTTACCTACCTGCTACTTCTATCTAAGCACCACACGGCAATGTCTCCGTTCCAACATTCTACAGAGCTACCACTGAAATTACCTTAGCCAGCGTTGCCAATGTCCACATGACCTTAAACCATATATTCTTGGTGTGGATAAAAAACTACTTCATGAATCAGGAGAGGTGACTCACCGGTTAAGAGCATTGGCTGCACTTTCAGAGGACCTGAGTTCAGTTTCCAGCGCGCACACAGTGGCCTGCAGTTCTTCTGTATCCCCATTCCCAGGGGATCTAACCCTTCTGGCCTTCTTGGGCATTGCACACACACAGTGCACAGATTTATGTGTAGACAAAACACCTGCACATATAAAAACTTAAAGAAAATTTAAAAACCTACTTGGTGAGGCACCGAGACTACAATATTATTTTTTCCGAATTTGTGTGACTGGGGCCAGGAATGATGCTGAAGAGGTAGCTCAGGAGAACTTGGAGAGAACCTGAGTTCAGTTCCCATCACCCACACTGGATGTCTCACAGCCACCTCTAACAACACGGGATCTGATGTACTATTCTGCAGACACCTGCACTCTCGTGGCATATACTCAGAAATGCATGCACATAAAAAACTAAAATAAATAAATAAATAAATAAATAAATAAATAAATAAATGGGTTGTGAGCTGCCTGGAATGGGTGCTGGGAACCAAACTCTGGTCCTCTGCAAAAGCAGTGAATGTTTTTAATCCCATACCACTGTTTCTCCAACGTCAGAAAATCTACCATCTCCTGGCCTTCCTGTGCAATGAGCTTACATGCACAGACCCATGCTTGAATGCACCTTTAAATTCATGAAAAAGAACATCTTCAGTTTGTAGGGAACTATGAGGGGTAAGAGACTGGAATTTTAAAAGAACCTTGGGAGGGAAAAGAAAATGGTAGAACGTTTTTTGAGGTTTACTTTTATTACTTTTGCATGTGGGTGCGTGCATGTGTGTGCAGTGATGTGGGGATCAAGAAGAAAGTCTCCCTGGAGCTGGGGTTGGGATCCGCCTGACTGAGGCGGAGCTAGCAATTGAATCCGAGGGCTTTTTGTTTTGTTCAAGACTTTTCCAAGATGTGACTTCTCTGCGAAACCCTGGAACTCACTTTGTAGACCAGGCTGACCTCTGCCTCCTGAGTGCCGGGATTAAAGGTGTGGGCCACCACACCCAGCTGTACTGCTCTTAACCAACTGAGCCATCTTTGTCCCCTTCTGGGAATGGCATACTTTAGATACTGAGAATCTCCCACAAATCTTCCCGGCTTCCCCTTCAAGTTCTGCTTCCTTGACTCACACGCTACTCAAACACTGTGTTTCCTCTCGTGTATGTTTCTTACTATGTGCATAATTTCTTTGGATGTAATTCCCATTAACAACATACCAGTATCTTTGAAACACCAGACCTGTATACAGTGATTGAATAATATACTTATTTGAATAAAATATATTACAAATTGGGTAGAATTATGTATGGCTAGGATTTAATACATCGGCTACACAACATAGCCAAACTTAAATACATTCTTACTCAAAGCCTGTTCTTCTCTTCATTTTACTCCATCTTGTTAACCTTCTGGTCCAGGCTCCTCTCCTACTGTTGCTCATCTCATTCGTGTGTGTGCGTGCGTGCGTGCGTGTGTGTGTGTGTGTGTGTGTGTGTGTGTGTATCATATATATGATATGTATTTATATAGTACACCGTGTGAATGCAATGCCTGAAAAGGCCAGAAGAGGGCATTGGACCCCTGGGGACTAGATTAACAGACAATGGTTCTCAACCTGTAAGTTCTCCCCCTTTGGGAGAGGTGGTCTGAGACCACTGGAAAACACATCTTTCCATTATGATTCATAACAGTAGGAAAATTATGGTTATGAAGTAGCGATAAAAATAATTTTATGGTTGGGGTCACTACAGCATGTGTGTCCAAGGGTGGCAGCATTAGGAGGGTTGAGAACCAGTGGTTGCAAGGGTGCTGATCCTCTGCAAGGGCAGCCAGCAGTCTAAACTGGCCGGTCATCCAGCCACACTATCACTCATCGTAACTGGTGGCACATAATTCAGTGCCTTGTTACTCAGTTTCCATAGTATACTTAGTTTAATCTCTAGAAATGTAGATCAGATTTGACTATTTCCCCTCAAAATAAAAAACAGAATAAAATTGGAAAGTGACGCTGCATTACACTGAGAACAACAACCAAGGCTAGCCTGGTTGTTGTTTCTCTGTGGCTTTGGAGGCCGTCCTGGAACTTGTAGACCAGGCTGGTTTCGAACTCACAGAGATCCTCCTGCCTCTGGGATTAAAGGCATGAGCCACCACCTCCCGGCTCACTTCTTCAACCTTAAGAGTTGCAAAATTTGTTTCGGACTCCTTTCTCTTGTACCTCTAAACCTTGAAGATTCCTGCAACTCACTGTATTGCTCCCTTCATAGAATTTTTTTACTATATTTGTATTTGCCACTGAATAATGTAAGTTTAGAAATTTTTTTGTTCATCCTCATATCCCCAAATGCCTAGTAAATAAAACAGAACCGTTTGTTGAAGAGGGGTGGGGATGGTCAAGATTCTGGTTAAGAATCAGAGGAGCGAAATTCTTTTTGAGTATCATTATTTCATGTGTGTGTGTGTTTGAGTGCTTGTCCAGGTGCCTGCAACGGCAGAGGTCCCCGTTTGTGTGGGAGCAGAGGTTTAAGTTGAGTGTCTTCTCTATGGTCCTCCACCTTGTTTTCTGAGACAGGGTCTCAATGAGCTGGTAGGTCACTGACTGACTAATGGCTGGCCAGAAAGCTCTAAGGATCCACCCATCTCCAACACCCCCACCTCACCCCAGCCCTACCCCATTGTTAGGGTTACAAAAAGAAACCATGTCCTGTTCTTGTATGGGTGCTGGGGACCTAAAGCGTTCTCACACTTACATGGCAGGCACTGTCCCGCCCGGCCGTCTTCCCGTCCGGTTCTCTCCCTCTGATATCAGCCATTCTTCGCCTCTACTGTGCTTTTTGCAGAAGGGCCCGCAAGTGTGGCGATGGTTTTTGCTCCTGTTACTTGAGAAACTGAGGCAAGGGATTGCTTGACCCCACAAGTTCAGCAACATAAGACTATATCTAAAAGGAAAAACAGAGCACACTTTGTGTTTTAGACACTCGACTTACTTCCAAAGATATTTTGACTCTTGTAATTGTATTGTTTGTAAGACCTCAGGATGAAAGCACATTTAGTAAAGAGGATTCATGAAGCAGTTAAGCTACAATCAAAATTCTAATGGGAGTGTTTTAGGATTCAAATGGTTGTGCAGTTTTCTAAGAAAATTCTATAAAATGGGTAACAAAATAACTGCTAAACAGGTAAGTGGTAAAGAGTTCATTTTTACTGCCCCACGTGGTGTTGCTTAATCGTTAAGTGCACTAGGCAGTTGGTCATGATAGGATAGAAAAACTAAGGTCCCTTTTCCTGTTACAGAAAGTTAAAATGGGTTTTGAAGCCAAGCGCTGTTGAGTACCTGAAATGTTAGCTTTCATCTCAGCACAAAGGATAACAACAGTAAATCCAGTGGTTGGTTTGACAGCACTGTATTCTGAAACCTGAACTGCTGCCAATAAAAACAACTTTGGTGGAAACATTCCTGGAAAGAATTTTTCACCAGCTTCAGAACATGAGTGGAAATCTAGCTCTAAAAAAGAGAGTAGTGGAAAGCAGGCCTCTTAGAGGGCGTTGTGCGTGTGGAGTGCCGCTGTGCTCCCTAGGGCTGGTGGTTCAAAACCACCTGTGTCACTTCTTTTATTTCTACTAAACTCTCTCAGCATAAAAACTAGAACGTATTTTGCATTCCTTGTGTAACCTTCAACTGTTCTTAAACCAAGCCAGAACAGCACGTTGACTATACTATGTAGTAGTATCATAGTCAAATGTGGGTGTTTAAACTTATCAAATTAGCTGTTAACGTGGCACTTTTTGCAGTTTACAGATTCCAAGTTTGCAAGTTTCCAGGCTAACCTAAACTACGTAGTGAGACTGTCTCGAAAATAGTTAACATTTCAGTACCTTAGTTGTCTTTGCTACATTTTTGTTTTGTTTCTTGTTTAAGATGGGGTTTCATATATCATGAACTGACTTGAATCTGCTGTGTTCGTGGTCCAGGCTGGCCTTGAACTCCTGATTTTCCTGCCTCTACTTCTCAAGTGTTGGGATTTACGGGTGTGTGCCACTACCCCCCAAACTCACGTTAGCTGCATTTCTAGTACTCAGTAGTTACATGTATTCAATGGTTACCATATTGGACAGCACAAATAAAGGACGTTTCCCTAGCTGTTGAAAGCCTAATTAGCTCAGTGTTCAAATGCGTGCCTGATAATTAGTATATAAGAGACAAGTTAAAAGCAGGAGCTCAGAATTCAGCTGTTAAGTTCAGATCTTATATCTGACACTTAACTTTTCTGCAACAGTTGTCATAATATAAAATAAAGATGAAACAGACGGTTTTCAGTTGTCCCCATATTGCATAGCTGACAAATATTTTTTGTTGTGGTTTTATTTCTTTTTGTTTTTAAGGCAGGTTGTCATGTGTCCCATATGAACCTCAGATTTGCTGTGGAACAAATACCATGGCCAAAAACAACTTGAGGGAACAGGATCATTTGGCTTTCACATCCAGATGACAGCTGTTCATTGAGGGAAGTCAGGACAGCCCTGCAGTACCGTGTCTTCATGCCCGAGAGGGAGTGTGAGTTGAGAAACAGCAGTAAAGATGCTAAGGAGGAAAGAGACACAGAGGAGGAGACACTGCATAGAATCAGGAGGGCAATCCAGTGAATGCTGAATGCGCCAAGTTTATTCTTCACATTCTTTTTTGTTGTTTTGTTTTGTTTTGTTTTTCGAGACAGGGTTTCTCTGCATTGTTTTGGAGGCTGTCCTGGAACTCGCTCTGTAGTCCAGGCTGGCCTCGAACTCACAGAGCTCCGCCTGCCTCTGCTGGGGATTAAAGGCATGCGCCACCAACGCCCGGCCTTTCACCATTCTTAAATACCCCAACCAAAAAGGGAAAATGGCAAAAGACTTCTTTATCAAGATACAAGAAAGAAACAGACTTTCTTCCTTAATTCTCCAAACATTTGGTAACCACGCCTTAGACTAAATCTCCAGTTATCTGGTCTTAAGGGTGAAGAGTAACCCTGCCTAAGACCAAACATCCTGCAGTAACAACGACTTAGACCTTTAGGTCTTATGACTTTAACCTTGGAAGAGTAATGATAGTTTTGAACTCTCTGACCTTAAGCCAAGATGAAGTGAAGCCATTTTTATGGGTCCCAACACAAAGCTATGGAGGACAGCTGTTGAGCGGCTTGCTCAGCTTCTTATCCCCCAGAACCACCTGCCTAGGGGGAGCAACACCCACAGTGGGCTGGGTCCTCTTATATCAGTCAAGAAAAAATGGCCAACAGATATGCCCACAGCACAGTCTGATGGAGCGGTACACACACGAAGTTTAGCCAGCTAGACCTGCCCGTGGCACCTGCCCTAGAGTGCAGCTATAAACCAAGTGACACTCTGTTAGAGAAAAATGATTTTCCCTTTCCTAGCAGGTATTAGTTGCAAATAGCTTCTTAGGGGTGGGACTTGGTATCTGCTTTCCTTTCTCTGCGCTATGCTTTTGTCTGGTGTTGATTTGTGGAGGTCTTTGTATGGTGTCACAGTCGCCATGAGTTCATATGTGGATCAGTCCTTTTGTGTCTAGAAGATGCTGTTTCCTTGGAATTGTCCACCATTTCTGGTTCTTAGAATTTTTCTATTTCCTCCTCTCCATAGTTCCCTGAGTCTTGAGGAAGGGGTGTGATAAAGACATCCTGTTTAGGGATGAGTGCTCCAAAGTCTGTCACTAGACATTGTCCATTGTGAGTCTCTATGTTTATTGCTTCTACTGCAACTGCATTGTTAGTGTAGAGTAAGTATAAGCCCCCTTTTTCCTTCACAGAAAATGATCCACAGTCTATTTCTCATCAACTGCTCTGGAGACATATTTCTAGAAAAGCACTGGAAGAGCGTTGTGAGCCAGTCTGTCTGTGACTATTTCTTTGAAGCTCAGGAGAAAGCTGCTGATGTTGAAAATGTACCACCTGTCATTTCTACACCTCACCACTACCTCATCAGTATCTACCGGGATAAGCTCTTCTTCGTGTCTGTCATACAAACGGAAGTGCCGCCTCTCTTTGTAATTGAGTTTCTGCACCGAGTTGCTGACACTTTTCAGGTTTGTATCCATCAGACTGTTGTAACTAGATCACTCAGGACAGTTGGAGGAGAGACCAGCATGCGTGTGGTTACTTAGGTTCTCGATGTGTACAGTGTGAATTTCCTTAACAACTAACGTAGGCTCATGAACACTTCTAGAGTATTCATTCGCACATGTGGCTGCTCTTTGGCTTTTATATGTGTAGCAAACTACACCACCAGGAAATGAGAGTGTCCTCCACTTAGAATTCTCTGGATTTAAGCCGGGCATTGGTGGCGCACGCCTTTAATCCCAGCACTCGGGAGGCAGAGGCAGGCGGATCTCTGTGAGTTCGAGGCCAGGCTGGACCGACAGCCTCCCAAACAGAGAAACTCTGTCTCGTAAAACCAAAAAAAAAAAAAGAATTCTCTGGATTTAGAAGATAAGATCTTCTAGATTTATATTATCTGTTTTCTCTTGTTTTGATAAATAAACCAAATAGCTTAAAGCTTCGTATGTCTGGGAGTGGGTTTATCAGGACTAATGAAGTTTACAGTTAACATTTCAGTACTTTCTAGCATGACATACAATAGGAGATAATTCTATATAAATATAGTAGAAAATACTGTAGAGAAATGTTAGCAAATTCCAGGACAGGCTCCAGAGCTACACAAAGAAACCCTGTCTTGACAAACCAAGTGGGGGAGGGGGTAGGTTAGGTCTTCTTAGATAATTTTTCATGTCTATATATTTCTAAGATCTTAAACCATGACTTAAGCTACTGTTTATTCTTCAGAACAAGAAAAGCAAGACTTCCTTCATGCTTTCTGTTGTTCAATATTATGAATATTTTGTTAGGACTACTTTGGTGAGTGTTCAGAGGCTGCAATTAAGGATAATGTGGTCATAGTGTATGAGCTCTTGGAAGAAATGTTAGACAACGGATTCCCACTGGCCACTGAATCTAACATTTTGAAAGAACTGATTAAGCCACCAACAATTCTACGTTCTGTCGTCAATTCTATTACAGGTATGAAAGCTGAAAACACTCTGTCAGGAAGTGATCCACTGAAACTTTAGCAACAGCTCATTTTGTTCATATGACAGACTATTAGGGTAGTCTCATTTGGCCAAAATTAAAATTATCAGTAATGTTAAAATAAATGGATTCTGTGTGTGTGGATGGATAGATGGATGGGTACATGCCTGTGTGCAAATGCACACCAGCATCCATGCCATAGCATAGTTATGGCGATCAGAGCTAGGAATTCAATCAGGTCTTCAGGTGTGGCACCTTTATCTACCCATTGACCTATCTGGCCAGCTCTCTTTTGAAAGAGAGCAAGAACAATAACAAGAACAGATATATGAGGTCATGTGTAGCTCATGTGTGTAATCATAGCACTTAGGAGGTTCACCAGGGAATTGATAAGTTCAAGGCCAGTCTGTGGTACAGAGTGAGAAATATGTTTATTTTATTAAAAGAGGCTCAGTCTTGCATGACAAAGGACTTTTAGGGTCGGGGTTTAACTCAGTGGTAGAGCATTTGCCTATTACTAAGTTCAATGCCCAATATTAAAAAAAAAAAAAGAAAGAAAAGAAGAAGAACTAGTAAAGTAAGTAGAAAATGAGTTTGTTAATAGAACTCTTTTGTGCATAGTGGGCTGTCTGCTTTTGTTATAAGCTTCCAGTTGAGTTTCATTCTGGACCACACCTAGAAATTGAGTATGCTCAGATAATCTTTTGAGGTTTAAAAGTCTTCTAGAAAGAGTGGGCTTGGGAACAAAAGCTTTTAATCCCAGAATTCAGGAGATAAAGACTGGTGGATGGATCTCTGATTTCCAGGCCAGCCTGGTCTACACAAGTGAGTCCCAGGTCAACCAGAGTTACACAATGGGACTGTGTCCAAAAGAAAAAGAAGTCTCCTGGAGAAAGAGTCTTATGGAATATAGTTTAACTACCTAAACATTTTAAAGAGCAATTGTGTACTTCAGGGACATTGTGGTGAGGCACTAGAAAGCTCACAATATTAAGGAGGGGACAAGATGGGGGGAAGAAGAAAACCAGCACAAAATCATAAAAGGGTGTGTGTGTGTGTGTGTGTGTGTGTGTGTGTGTGTGTGTTTACAAAGATAAATCCTAAAATGGCCAGTTGGTGGTGGTGCCACCTTTAAGTCAGTGCTTGGAAGGCAGAAGCAGACAGGGATCCCCGAGTTGGAGGCCAGCCTGGTCTACAGAGTGAGTTGCAGGAGAGCCAGGGCTGTTACACAGAGAAACCCTGTCACAGTCACTTCTGCCCCTAGGTTGTTCAGCAGCCAGGCCTCTTTCCCATTGCTGGCAGCAGGATAAGATTCTGTCGTGGGCAGGCGGTGGTGGCGCACACCTTTAATCCCAGCACTCAGGAGGCAGAGGCAGGTGGATCTCTGTGAGTTTGAGATGATTCTGTTGTTGAGCCAGTGGAGTTAGTTTAGGTTACTGCTAACACTCGGGAAGCAAGAGATGAGTGAATGCGTTTATCTTGATCTAATAGGTAGACAGAGGAGCAGATGGCCTGTCTCTGTCCTCTTGCATGGAAGACGTCTCCACCAGTCTAGAGCCCATCCTCAAGCACAGTGAAGGGAAATCCAGATGTAAAGCAGATGCTGAGGCTTCCTGTTTCCTTTTATAGTAGCTTTTCTGATAACCATTACACACATCTACTTTGGTCTCTTTTCTAATTTCCAGGCAGTAGTAATGTTGGGGACACACTCCCCACCGGGCAGCTATCCAACATCCCATGGCGTCGAGCAGGAGTAAAGTACACAAACAATGAGGCCTATTTTGATGTAGTTGAAGAAATAGATGCAATTATAGATAAATCAGGTAATTAATTGTGTGCATGTGGTGGGGGGGGAATTCAGTTGACACAAGTTGAATTGAAAACTAAAATCCCTTGGCATGGTTTTCAGCAGAAAATCACTCATTTTTCTAATGATTTATAAATCTTTTTATTCTGCCCAAAAGTTACATATAATTTTCATACCACTGATTGAGATAGTGCTAGGTGTTTGTAAGTTCCTCTTGCAGGTATTATGTAACTGTGGTAATCATGCTGCTTACCTGCTATGTGTACAATGCTTCAGTTAAAGCTTCTGGTTACTTTTAACAGAGAAGACGTTGGTGGTAAATACTAGAATCACAAAACATCTCATCCTAACCTCATATTTATATATAAAGCAACTGAGACTCTGAGGACTCCTTAACATGTTAAACATAATACTAGTGGACATGCGGGGATGAGTGACTTACTGTGAATAGCAGCTATTACCATGTCTTCTTTCCATTATAACTTTCAGGCATTCAGAATAATAAATCATGAATCCTGCTCCTTAAAAGGTAGCCTATGGCTTAGTCCATTTCATGAGAAACCTGCTTCATTTTTAAATTCTGCTAAAAGTTTGGCCTTCTAAAGATTTGATCTTCCTTAGAATTATACTCTAGCTAGTTAGTTGTAGCCAGTGAGAAATGCTGTTGAAACTAGTGTAATAGATACTCCATCTACTGATCTGTTAGAAAGGTTCAAAGCTTTGTAATTCTGACATCTGGGATGTGTTTCCATTACTCCAGGGACAGTGAGAGCTCTAGAGAAGGCCCAGATCCACTAAGGTTATCAGCTTTTTATTTCTTTCTCTAGGATCTACAGTGTTTGCAGAAATTCAGGGGGTCATTGATGCTTGCATTAAGCTCTCTGGAATGCCTGATCTCTCGCTCTCTTTCATGGTAAGTTTTGATCTGCTCTACAGTCCCTTCCATGCATTTGAAGTGCTAAATGATTGATAATTACCGAGATAAGATTGTATCTGAAACTATATTTATTTTGTATTTGTGTGTGTTTGAGTTGGCTTGTATTTACCAGGGCGCACACGTGGAGTCAGAGGACCACTGCCAGGGATTGATTCTCTCCTTCCACCATGTGGATCCGAGGGGCCAAACTTGGGTCCTCAAGCTTGGCAGCAAGCACCTCCCCAGCCCTGGAATTTGTATATTAGCTTACAAAGGACTGTCTCAGAAATACTGGTGGCACAGCTTTCGAGACAGGCACTGACACATTAAGCATGGCCTTTACTGAAAAGTGGAACGGAGGTCTTTACCTAGAGTGTGCTAGAAGTGGCTCAGAATTCGCTATCTAGCGTTTGTGTCTCCGCTGTCATTTTCACCAGACATTTGCTCTGCTTGTGTGAAGAGACACTGGCACTTTGCACCATTTAGATTCAGCATGACACACTGCTGAAAACAGCTAAGAGAAGTCTGTTACCAGTTTCTCTTGACTTTCTTCAACCTCAGGTTTCATCTTGGAATGTAGACAATGTTTATAAACTTCAAGTAAAGTAATGTATATAAAATATGAAACTATAAGGTTATTTTGATGTGTTCATAATTACTGCTTTTATGACTTAGGGAGCCGATTAACTTATCATAATATGTAAATACTGTTGTCATACTCCTTATACACTGCTTATGGCTTTTTCTTTTCCTGACAGAACCCAAGGCTTCTAGATGACGTCAGCTTCCACCCATGCATCCGGTTCAAACGCTGGGAATCAGAAAGGGTTTTGTCATTCATCCCTCCGGATGGGAATTTCCGACTCATATCATACCGTGTCAGCTCACAGAAGTAAATGGATTCATCAGCCAGAATTTGCCATCACAAACAAACTGAATAGAACCCCCTGCTCTTGCTTCATTTTCACAGTCTCATTCTTAAATTCGTCATGGCTTACTTAGCCATGGCTCACCTGGAGACTCGTGAGAGCTGGTGATACATACCTAAAACAGTCAGTGTTTCTGACCTCAGAGTAGAGTACGAGGAAGAGTAGGTTAAAATCTGTAACTAAACGCAAGCCTTTGAAATATGAGTGACCTGTGCAAACCATGAACTTGGTGACTTAGTCCTACTATGTTCTCTAACCTGACAAGACAGCCACATCCTAAGATGTTTCCTCAGCTACCTGCTTGAAGTTTCTGTTCTCTACATTGAGTTTGAGGGGGGAGGGGTGGTTCTTATTTTTAAGACAGGGCATTATTTGTAACCCAGACTGGCCTCAAACTCTGGATCCTCCTGCCTTAGCCTCCTGAGTGTTGGGATTATTGATAGGTACAACCACACTCAACTTGGACATTTTCAGCTATAACTAACTTGGCCCTTTAAAACACCAGAAAGCATTTGGGTAACAAAACTGAAACTTTTTTCCCAGAATTATTTCTTAGCACTTCGAATTCTTTTCATGGCCTCTCCTCCCCCCCCCCTTCTCTTCCTCTCCCTCCCTCCCTCTCCTTTTCCCTCCCTCCTATAGCCTTCTACGCCAGTTGTTTATACTGTGTTTAAACCAGATTTCTGTTTTGGCTTACGCTTGTTATCAACCCATACCGTCCTAGCACACTGGTACAGAACACCGTGCTGCCCTCAACTACCCCACTGCAGAGGCTGCACCTACTGGGTGTGCGCCCTGAGCACAGTTACAGACAGCATGGAGCACATACGACACCTGCAGGTGTCCAGTACTTGCCTTATGTACATTCGTACTTTTGCATCTTTCTCTCTGTGTCTTTTGTAGTCTTGTGGCAATACCAGTGTATGTGAAACACAATATCAGCTTTAAGGAAAACAGCTCTTGTGGCAGATTTGATATAACAATTGGACCAAAACAGAATATGGGAAAAACTATTGAAGGAATCACAGTGACTGTTCACATGCCAAAAGTTGTACTGAATATGAACCTGACACCAACACAAGGCAGCTATACATTTGATCCAGTAACCAAGGTACAGCCGCTTCACCAATGAAGAGTGAGCAAGTGTTGTGCGATCTCTTCTGTGGGTGGGGGTGGGGACATAGTAGTTGGGAAAAGTGTCCTTGCATTACTTACACGTCTCTAGCTAAGGGTTTTCAGAGACTATAAAAGATAATTTTCTCTCAGCTGCTTAGCTCCTTTCGATGTGATGAAGCCGGGCGGTGGTGGCGCACACCTTTAATCCCAGCACTCGGGAGGCAGAGGCAGGCGGATCTCTGCCAGTTCGAGGTCAGGCTGGACCGACAGCCTCCAAAACAATACAGAGAAACCCTGTCTCGTAAAAACCAAAAAAAAAAAAAAAAGAAAGAGAAAATGTGATGAGTTTTCAGCAGAATAATTGAGTGCTTGATAAAGGAGGTGTGTTTTGTTTGAGGTGAGGAGGTCTTACTATGTAGCTCAGGCTGTCCTGGAACTCAGAACCCTCTACCTCTGAGTTCTAAATTAAAAGCATATGTCACCACACCTACCTGAGAAGGTGTGATTTTGACTAATTTCATAGAACATTTTTTGGGTGGTTGGTTTTTGTTGTTTTTGTTTTGTCTTGTTTTTTGAGACGGGGTCTCTCAATTCCTGCCTGTCCTGGAATTTGATATATAGACCAGGCTGGCTCCTGAGTGCTAAAATTAAAGGTGTGAGCCACCATACATAGAGCATTAAAAGATCTTCCAACATTGGGGCTGGGGAGATGGCTCAGTGGCTAAGAACACTGAAATACGATTCCCAACAAGTCATATTGGAGGCACACAACTGCCTGTAACCTCAGCTCCAGGGGATCCAACGCCCTCTTCTGGCCTCCGTGGGCTCTGTGTTCACATGCACAACCCCACATAGACACACATGTGCATATAAGAACTTCTAACATCTTAAGAATTCCAGAACCTTCCAGAGACCATGTAAATCCAAGCAGGAGAGTTCCATATCCTTACCTTCCACTCCGGCTGCAGCTAGACTTTGATCTATTACTCGGTTTCCAGAGGTGATTTTGCTGAAACAAAGGATCTGTAGCTGAAAGTTTAATGATAGTAATATAAATTGGTTGTCTATTCCAGGGTTCTGCTTTACAAGACACTGCTTCATTTTGTGTAGACGCTTCTAGTGCCTGTTAACCTCTGAACAAGTCTTTAACACATGGTTCAGATTTCTTCTCTTGTCTTTTTAAGGTCCTAGCATGGGATGTGGGGAAGATTACCCCACAGAAGCTCCCAAGTCTTAAAGGACTGGTAAATTTGCAGTCAGGAGCGCCCAAGCCAGAAGAAAATCCAAGCCTCAACATACAGTTCAAGATCCAGCAGCTTGCTATCTCAGGTAAAGATAGGTGTGCTGTGTGTCCACGGGAAATGAATTAGGAGTTTGGAAGAGTCCTGATACCCTGCCCTAGAAAGAGCTGCTGCTCCAGGTTGCCTGCTGTGGTGCTGGCCTCCAGGCCCCAAGTTTGGGAGAACAGCTCATTTTGCAGTCTCCACCACAGGCACCCTCACACCTTCATTTAATCACCACAGACTCAGTTGTTTGTGTTCACAGAAACCAGCAACTTCACAAGCATTTTTCTGGCCACAGTATAGGCATCAACTGTACCCCCCAGAGTATAATGCATGGGTGATAGGAAAAGGATAGTTTCCACAATGATGGATGGAGCGCTGTACAGTGTCACATCTAGGGTACAGTGTTCATTGTTAAAGAAATCTTGCATTATTACTGGGATGGTAATGATTTGTTTCGTTCTTTTTGACACAGGCTTAAAAGTGAACCGTTTGGACATGTATGGGGAGAAGTATAAGCCATTTAAAGGAGTCAAATATGTCACAAAAGCCGGGAAGTTTCAAGTGAGGACATGAGAAGAGACCAGAATTCCTTAAGATGTTTGCTTTTCAAGTGTCATTACACTTTATTGCTAATAGGTACCAAGTGGGTGGGGTTACATATAAAGCATTTGTGTCTGGCTACACTGCTAACAAAGTTGCTTAGTATCAATGTAGGGCTCTTAAGGAGCTTGAAGCTAAGGAAAGTTTCTAAAGACTTAGCTTACTTTGTATCTTTTCACTTAGGAAAAGATTTAGATGATTTCTTCCAAGGGGGCTACCAGCTGAGTGCTGCACATTGTGACAGTAAAGGCAGAAGGCTACAGTGGTGGCCTCCTAAAGCCAGTGAACTGGTCTCATCAACCAGCAGGAACTGTGTCAGCCATGATGGGTCAGGTTCAGCCAGTGTCACACCTTCTGATGTCAGCCATCTCAGATCAGTGTCTGTCCCACAGGAGGAGATCCCCGACCCCAAGAAGTTTACAGGAAACTGCCTCTTCAAGTGTTTGCCTTACTCAGCTTTTCACTGGTGCCATTAAGCAAGCACTGTAGCAAAGCCTCCTCCACATGGCCATGGCAGGGAGCACTGCTGCTCCACGCTCCACTCACTGTATTTGGTATTATATTTTTTTATGAAGAAGATTTTTATGTAAAGCTCAGATTTTGATTTACAAGGACTTTGCTGCAGTAGATATACCATCAGTCATCAGTTCAGCTGCTAGATAACACAGTCAATATCATTTGCATCAAAGGGGCAAATACTTTATTAAGATAATAAAAGGGAACACTACTTCTGCTTTTAGGAAGTTAATGCAGGCACAGGTGTTTGTGCTTTTAAACGAATCAAAGTAGTAAAAGAGAAAATTAAGCAAAACCTTTGCCATTCTCATGTCTTATTAAAACTTTATCTAATGCCACTCTTAGCCTGAAAGCCTCATGCCCTAGTTCAGCAAAAGGTGGAAAACATATCTGCTTCACTGCTGTTATTTTTCTCTTTCTAATCTTTTCTTTGTGTGCTTAAATGGTTGGATTTACCTGTATGCCCTGTATTTGGAGGAGCTCCTTTTCACCCCAAGGCCACTGTGATAGGTACCTTCCCAAAACTCCCCACCTTGTCAAAATGTGGCTGAAGCCCCCAAGTGTCTTTGCTGTACTGTGTACACAGAAGACCATTATACTGAGGGACAAACAGCCAATCAATCATTACACTTGGAAAGTGAGTCTGATCCTCCATTCTGCGTCAGTCGCTTGCAGACTCTTGTGTGGTGATCTTGCCTCATTAGACATGAAGATGAAGAAAGTGGAGGAGGCTGAAAGTTAAGATGCAAGTGCCTGCTCTTCCCGTCCCCTCCTTTTCTTTAGACTATTGGACTGTTCTCTTGTCCTGTGGCCCATTATTTTCTTCACCTTTCCCTTACCATGCTATTTATGACGCATGCTCACTCCTTGCTGGAGTGCTGATGATGCAGTAACACTGTTACTATACCCTCATCTAATTAGAAAGGCTAGTTTTTGCAACTTCAAATAGAAATTTCTTGAGCAGCCAATCTTAGATTGACAGTTTTAAGTCAAAATGCAAAGTATTCCCTTTGACTAAGATTGATTATCTAGCTCTAGTTGTAATATCCTGTCTTTACCTCAGAAACCATCAGACTGTCCAACATTCCTCCTGTGCAGTCTTGTCTATCAAAGTGGAACATATACCCAGAGTCCCTCATCTCTAATCATTTCTGCTAAAACAGCCAAGCAGACTGTGTTCCTTTACAGCTAAATTATTGTATTTATTAATTTGATAGAGCCCAGTAAGTCCTAGCTCTGACTATAATGTCAATAAAAACATGAAAGCAACAAACTGATTTTTTTTTAAGTTTGGTTGTTGATGGAACATTCTCCTATCTGGGCTATGTTAGAGCCAGCTGCATCAGATCAGCTTCTTCTGTGTTGCTTGAAGAACATTCAAGAGGCCCTTTCCTAAGTGAGCATGTTCGCAGCCACTCATCTTTTCACAGTGCCCTTTCTAGTCACACGTTACTTCCCCTGTAGGTCCAAGATTCTTGCACACAGAATTCTGCTTACTCCAGCATACCCCCCTTTACTTTGTTCTTAAGGAAGTAATCTAAGAACAAGTAAAACGTGCTTATTTTCTGTGTGAGGTAGCCCCACCCACACAGGAAATTCAGATGGTGGGTTCATCTCTTAAATGTGCCACAGAAGACCCTGGGAATGTGCTGGGCTCTTGTTGTCCTTAGAAGCAACTGGTTAGAAAAAAGAGTGTCAGCTACGCTAATTCCGCAGCTTTGGACGTGGGCTTCAGTCCACTTCTCCAATGCACTTCTCAGTCAATGCGATGGTAAATTTCATCCAGCAGGATTGTTTTACCTTCCCTCCACCTCCAGGTCTAGAAAATTAGGCAGCAATGTTTGTTTTAGTCGGTGCTCCCTAAAGCAGGATGGTGAGTGTGTGTCCAAAGCTAGTTTTACCTCCCAGCCCTAGTGGACCCTGACAACACTGTTCTATACTGGGTTTGGAACACATAAAAGTGCCCCTCACATTTCACACCTTCAGCGTTTTTAAGGGACAGTTGTGGTCGACAGTTGTGGTCTCCAGTAGTGGCTAAATTCTTCTAAGATGAGAGTACGTCAACCAGGGCGGCCCACATTTGGCTGCTTTGCCCACTGGTAACTTGTGATTTCTGCTCCTTCTAGAATATAGTTGCCAAGACAGCCCTTCCTTTATCACATAGACCCTCTTACATAAATACACTGCTTCCATTCCTTGGTGGAGTGAATAAAATCTTTAGTTGCTTTTTGTTTTCCCAATAAAATCCAAATCCTGAGTATTAGTTTCATTGGCTATTCTTCAAAAATAAGAGTCTGACCTAAAGTTATTGGTAAAATAGCATGTCCAGCATTCAGAGTGTTATTCGTATAAATGCATTTTATTATTTTAAACAGAACAAAAGAAGAGGCAGAAAATATTTGTATATAATAAATCCTAGCTTATAAATGTAGGTTTTTTTGGGTTTTTTTGTTTTGTTTTTTGGTGGTGGCATCTCTTACTCATTCGGGGACTGTTTATTTTGCTTCCTTGTACTGTAAGCATTGACACTCAAGAAAAGCACATCTGGCAGACCTGTGTGTCCAGAACTGGAAGAGCTCGGAGAGCAAACATGATTTTCTTAGTTCCTCTAAGCAATCTTTAAAACAAAAGGTGATCTTTGGCATCGAGTCATACTTTAAAGGCATTGATATGCATTTATATCAGGTAAGCAACTATACAGATACACTGAGAGCTTTGAAAATAATCGGCTGAAAGGGAAGGAGGCCTGAGTATACAGGATCAACACATTCAGGGCTGGGACTGAACACACTAGGTGTGGGGAGATTAGCAGGAAAGGGTCTCCTCCTGTGTGCATCTGGTTCTTGACTTGTGAAAGTAGTGTTCACATGCTAGGATTTGCTTGTGGAGTAGATACAGAAACTTTGCCATATAGGAAACACACCTTTCTGATAATTAGATGTCATACTTATTAATCTTGAATACTTGGGAGAGGATGAAAAAGACGTGGTTGTAATTGGTTAGAACTGGGAATTATAATAGTTTCTACTAACTTATTCCTAGCAGCACCAGCATCAAAATCTGCACATGCTATTCTCCCTTACACAAGAAGCATCTCTTAAACAGGACTGCCTTCCCATTCAAGTCTCTTCGAGAGCAAGCCCTAATGTTTAGTACTTGATTTTGAATGAACCTTCCAACATTACCAGGAAGCCAAGTGTGGTTGGTAGGTGCTATTAGTCTGATGCAGGCAGATTGCTTGAACCCAGAAGTTCAAGACAGCATAAAGAGACCCAGTCTCAAAATCAGAAGAAAAAAAAAAGCGGGAGCTGGGGGATTAGACAAACACATACCTATATATCTTTAAAGTCTTGTTTAAGAAACATGTAGAAGACTGCCAAAGCCTGGGATGATTTGGTTAAAAATAAATGTAGCATTTCAGCTGAGAAATTTTTAAAAAGCCAAGAGTGAATGCTAAGGCCTCAGCACAGACCTCTACTGGCAGTGACAAAGCATAGAGAACCTGGGAGTGGCCCCGCTGGAAACAGGTTAGGCAGGATCACACCCCAGCTACTCTGCCCCTCTAGTGGCAGAGAGCACCAGTGTGTTTACTGGATGGTTACCTTGGCAACCAAAGCAAGGCAAGATGTGAGCCAGGAAGTTTCCCTAGCACAGATATTACTCGGGGCATGGTAAAGACAGAATAGTGATTTCCTCCCAACAATGTAACTTGGTTTTACATTGTGATTACATGGGGGAAAGCAGGAAATGAATCCAGGCCACAGAAGCTGGCCCTCCCCAGAGCAATGATGCACAGCCCAGGGAGGGTAGGCAGGGTCAGCAGCAACATGGAAAATCCAGAATAACTTGGAAGCACAGTTACTAACTGACCTGCCTCAGCTGTAGGTCTTGGGGGCCTAAAGGGGAGTTTAGAACCGTAAACAGAGAGGGAAATATTCCTTGGGCAGAGCAGGCTTCCAGCTAGTGTTCACTCTTATTCTGAGCTTATGTAAAATCCATGGGCTATCGACCCAGTCCACTTGCTGGGTGACTGCACAGGAGTAACTGTGAGAGTACAGGGTTCATACAGAGACACGTTTCAAAGTGTCCATGACAAGAGTGTAAATGTCTTCTATGTGAAGAAGCCCCCGTTCCTTTCTGGTGTGAGACCAGGAACTGATTTCTACTCCTGGCAACTCTGAATGGCTTCTGGAACTCATCATTCTCTTCTCTAGTAGAGGCTTATGTCCCAGGCAGGTTATGTAGGCGCCTACTGGTACCAGGGCGTCTTTCGGACCCAGCGCAGAGTAAATCCAGCATCTGTTCGAATTTTGATTGAAGCCGCTTCTGCTTCTCTCACAGTCTCCTTGACAGACTGCATGAGGTTCTGGGCATTGTGAACCAGCATCTCTGTGGCCTGTGAATACAAGAGCCTGTTACTGCAGTCCCTAGTGCAATGCTGCCTCAAGAGACCGTGAAGTCTGGTGTGAACTACAGTTAACCCTACCGTTACGGTCACCCAACACTTGTTTGCATCACTAGTGGTTTAGGTTTAACATCTGTGCACTGTGTCCTTGTGTGGATGTCAGCAAGTACTTGCTCTTGGTTTTCAAAGGTGGTGAGCTTTCAGGTTTCGGGACTCCTGCAATGCTTTTCTGCCAAGTAGCCCAGGGCCCACTTTGCTAAGCAGTCACATAGGGAAACATTTCCTTTTTGTTTATGTTAAATCACATACCACTTAAGCTCCTAGCATTATTAAAGTTACTATTCTTCATAAAATCCATCATCACTAATTGGTATGCTATATATTCTGCCTACATTGTTTTGGGGATGGGTTTTGTTTTATTTGCTGGCATTTGTTTTTGTTGGTGGGGGGTTGATTTGTCTATCTGTACTAAAGTTTAGGTTCCATAGGGCAGAGACTTGTTATTTTTGTTCACTGCTGCCAATGAATGAAAATAATCAAACCAAGCAACCAACTACATTATAAGTGTATGTACTTTAATTTTCCAAACACACAAACTTAAGAGGACAGAGATCTAGTTGGAAGTCTACTCACGGCCAGACAATTCAGTGATTCCTCTAGGGCAGTAATTCTATCTTTAAGTCATAGATCTTTTATGGACTCAAAGCTGTAGGGTTTCCCCAGAAAAATGTGTCACATGAGTGAAACTTGTACATAAAATTCAGAAGGCTCTGGGAAAATACTTAGCATCCAAATTCCTCACTGCTCTTCTGGTTATGAAGGCTGTTAGGCCCAGAAAGGCTTGGAATCTTGCCAGCCAAACTCACAAGAGTCAGGTCCAGCTCAAGACTTCCCACTTGTATCCTGAGGTTCCTTCTACCACACTGTTTCTACCTTTTTTCATTTAATGGGACACACACAGACTGAACATGCTTTTTTTTAATATACTTTAGCATGAATCGCAGTCTTACCCTTCCTTTCCCATCTTCTATATTTAGGCTGAAGATATCCCACTAAGGAAAGTAACCCAGTACCAAACTCTACTTGCAGTATTACATGTTGGGGATGTTGATAAAGCTCCCGTGGTAGGAGAGGTGAGAGCGTCGGATTAAAATAATGATAGTGTAAGTAGCCGTGGTGGCAGCAGAAGAGTGTCCTGGTTCCTCAGTGGTGCCCCTAGCCTCTGTAGAGGTCAGAAGATCTCCCTAATTATTTGTGAGTTCCCTAGTGGAGAGAGAGTATGCCTCTCAGTTTAACTTTAAACTAATGATGGGCCCTCTGTGTACAATGCAACTAAGACATGCTCTCTACCATAGAAAATGGGGAGTGGCTCTGTGCAGGGCCCACTGGGGGTGGTAAGGAAAGACAAGGTCACTGCATTCTTAATTCAGAGGCAAGTTTGTCCCACAGTTAAAATTAAACAGCAAAGAAACCAGGGCAGGGCCCCAGAGCAGAGCACACACCTGCTCAGACTCTTCGTCGCTGATGTTGGTGCGGCCCAGCATGGTAGCCTTCACTGTGGACAGGATTTTGAGCTGGGTGCTTATAGTTGGGATTCTCTCACATACCTAAAGAGAAAGTTTCATTTGGTGTTTGTTGGCTATCTTACCCACAAGTTCCCTGGAGGTAGATAAACCCAACTCCATTCCCAGTCGCTGACATGCAGAAGTACTCAATAAATGAACAGCACAAATATACTTGTTTTTATCCCTAGGGTCAGTCCTGACCCAACTCTTTCATAAATGGAGGCAATCAAATTCTACCAGGTTAGGAAGTAAGCTGTCCGTCTATTTTTTCCAAATATCCATGCACTCACTGCCCCTGCTGCT